GGTGTATGAATTGACAAGCAGAAAAATCAATTATATTAAAAACCTGGTTGCTCAGAGTTGTAGAAGGGTCTTCTTTGTGGTGAGGAATAATCTGTTGGGGCAAGTAGTGAGAGTAGGTAAACTGTGTGGGTACTTGTGTTCCTGAGAGAGACCGGGCATGGCCGGCCGGACTGAAGGAAGTCCGAGGCCGAGCAGAGAGGATTCCCAAGAGCCTGTTTCAAGCCCATCCACAGGGACTGAGATCTACCTTGCCCAGGAAAGGTCAACAACTAAAAAAGGGACTAAGGAGTGAAAATTATTCATCATGTAATCTCTATGTAATCAAGTGTAATCATTATTGTGCAATACCACTGTTCCCCTGCAAAAGTTATTGATTAAAGCAAAGCAAAACATAAAATTCTGGATTCTTATTTCAAACACCCCTTTTGTTCTTGGAAGTGGAAAACTTGGTTCAATGAAACAACAGAAACATAGGAGGTTTTAAACAGTTTTTATTAACTTTTGATTATAGAACAACACCCCTGAGTCTTGTGCCTAGGCTCTAAATATCGCCAGATCGATTAACAATTGCAACGCTAAATCAGGAGATGAGCTACCGTTAACTTGCGCTCCCTCGTCCGCTAAACGTCCCCACTCCTGCTGCTAGGTCGGGCGAGGCACGAGGTGAAACTTTGGGTGTGGTGCAAGGATCAGAGGTAGTTAACAGTCTGGGTGAATCATCTCAACACAGCCTTAAAACTAAAACTGTCCTAGGGAACGGCTGCGGGTAATACCTGAGCCATAGAATTAGTTTTGAGACCCGTTGGAGGAGAGGCTGCGGTGAGGGCATGGCACGTGTCCTGTGCCTACCTCACTCGGGGAAGCAAGACAGGTGAAGTTAAGGTTTTTACTGTTACTGCACGTGAGAGTCCATTTTATAAAAACCTGGCTGTTGAATTCATTAATACTGCCGATTTGGAAAAGCTGAAATCGCTTTTACCATATGTTTATCCATTTGAGGCTGCAGAAGATGTGATATTTGTTGTTAAATTACTTTCAAGAGAGGGCCTTGCCATAGCCACAGTGGACACGACCCCACCCCCTAATTACCTCCGTGAACTAAAACGCATTTCCCAGCAGAGTGGAAAATCATTTGATGATGTCTTGAGAGGAGTTTTTGAACAAATTAGTTCTTATTTGGGAATAGCGGCTACTGGAGGGGAACCTGACGAGGATGGTGATGAGGAGGACACAGTCGAGATACTTACGACTGCCAGAGAGTCCCGTCAGACTCGGTCATCTACTTTTCCCTCAAAACAATCAGATCAGTCCACCACCGACCAGCAAGGCCCAAAATCTCAACCAAATCCAGCTACAAATGTGGGACTGAGAATTTCCCTCTCGGGGAATGATCTGAATCCTCCTGGGGTCCAAAGGGTTGTAGTTGAACACATTGTGCGCAGAGATGATGTAAATCAACCTCTGTCTTCATTTAGACTACATACTTTCTCAGGAAGACTTCCAAAACCTCAGCATGAGGCAGATTATGAATCCTGGAGGTCTCAAATAGAACTTTTAAATGCAGATCCAAGTCATGCACCTTTACATGTTTCAAGGCGCATTTTGGAAGGTTTAGTCCCTCCAGCTGCTGACCTAGTGAAGGGTTTGGGGCCTAATGCCCTGCCTGCAACATTTTTGCAGGTGCTTGATTCTGCATATGCTACTGTTGAGGACGGAGAAGAACTGTTTGCAAAAATTTTAAACACTCTTCAGGACCATGGGGAACGACCATCTTCTTATTTGCAGAGACTCCATTTGGCTCTCAGTACAGTGGTGAAGCGTGGTGGGATTCCAGCAACTGAAATGGACAAATATCTGTTAAAACAATTTTGTAG